CCATAGACTGATTTAACATATTTATTTGCTCATGGTAAAGTAATATGGTGTTTGTAAGCAATGAATGATTGTATCAATCGAAGTCTTTAAAACAGGGTGGTATTGGAAGTTACAAAAGATGCTCGGATCAATGGCAGTATGAAATTTGTCAAATATGGAGTGGTTTTCATTCTATGAAATATGAAATGCAATTTTAGCTCACTAAAAGCACTTGATTTTGTTCAGTTTCTTCACATATATACATCAGATCAGGGTAGTTGGCATTTTTAACTTGTTTTTATAAATATTTTACTTTTTCAGACGGCTGCTAGCTATCATGCAATAGCAATTGCTCTTTCTTTGATGGAGGCATACTCTCTAAGTGTTCAGCATGAACAGACCACCCTCCAGATCCTGCAGGCTAAACTTGGTTCTGATGATCTAAGAACACAGGCAGTTTTACAGATGCTTTTTGATGTTAGATTAAAATAAACAAATTGTAATCCTCTTTTCTTATGCACATATATATATGAATTTATTACAGGATGCAGCTGCATGGCTTGAATACTTTGAGTCAAAGGCTCTAGAGCAACAGGAGGCTGCTCGGAATGGTACTCCTAAACCAGATGCCTCAATCTCCAGCAAAGGTCATTTAAGGTAGACATTACAATTAGGAACATGTTCCACTTATGTCAGTCTATCTGGTTCACTTGATGGTTTTTCAGCTCATTTGAACACAATCATGTGCTCTATGCATTTTGATTGAATCATCTGTACATCACTGCTGATCTGGGCTTCTTGTCCTCTATGCAAACCTGTTTGTTTATGATTTAAAAAAAACAATAAAAAAATAGTTTTAGAATTTGGGTTTAGAATTTATAATTCAACTCTACAAAATTGGCTTGTGGCTTGTAAGGTGAGGGTGAGGACTGCCCAAGTCTTATAACTTTTAAGCACTATTTAGGTCATATTTTTAGTTGATATGGGATCTCAACCTTTTTGGTCAGTCCCTCCATATGTAGTTCTTTCCCCGACACTAGAAACTAATTCTAATAGGCTGCAATTATGGCAGATTAAGGGTGACCACAATTAAGGTGGCTGTCCAACAAATAGAAAGTGGAAAAAGAGAAGATGTGGAGTAACTTTGAAACTTAAATGACTCAGGATTGAGCTATGCATAATATGAGGATGTCACTTTTGAATTGTGTGTTTCTAATCTTATAAATCTACCAATAAACTAAAGTAAATTTGGACTATGCAGTTCAATCAGTTTCTCCTGTGTTTTGATGTCTTACAACTAATTTTTAATTTTAAATTGAATTTCTGGATTGAATTACATTGTGAGTATATGTTTTTTATTGCTTTAACATTGTTGTTTCTTCATATAATAATGTTTATTCTTTTTGCTGAAAATATGTTATTATTACATGAAAAATGTCAAGGATGAACTTTCCTAAAAGTTTACTCCACTGACCCAGGAATGTTTTATGAGCCTGTCTGTTTAAACTTTTTTTAAAGCATTTTTTTTAATAAAATAAAATGTTTTCTACTGTCTTATTAGTTTGTCTAAACTTTTTATTTCTTTTAAAAAAAGTATTTTCTTTTTTAAAAAAAAAAACTAATATTTGCTTCTTAAAAAATTACTTTTTAAAAAATCACTTATTTTACCATCACTTTGTAATTTTAAATAAACTGGCATTCTATCTCTGGCTAAATAGTTTAACCACCGACCAAATATAAAGTCCTGCAAACCTTTTGATTTTATTAAATCTATCTCTCTTTTCCTTAAAGTTCCTTTTAAATTTTATGACAAAAAATAAATTCCTTCTATCAGTGTGTCAGACCTCTTGGATTATATAACACCTGATGCTGATCAGAAAGCAAGGGAAGCGCAGAAAAAGGCTCGTGCCAAGGTAATATATAGCTTCTTTTTACCCAGGATATACCTGTGAATACTCTCAAATTTCTTTCTGAATTAATACTTGTAACATCGTTTCCTATCTCTTATTCAAAGAAACTAAATTATCACCTATTTTACAGTTAAAGGGAAAACCAGGCCATAACTGGGAAACAGCTTCAGATGAAAATCAGAAGGATGAAGACATGTCTCAAGGTTATTCAATCACTGAGACAACTAGTGATAAAGAAAATAAATCTGAAGTTCAAATTAAAGACCTTGGGATTGACAAAGTTGAGTCCACTCACTTAGACCAAGCAATGCTCAATGAAAGTAACCCAGAACAGGATGACAGCTCAGATGAAGGATGGCAGGAGGCTGTTCCCAAAGGCCGTTCACTCACAGGGCGCAAGTCATCTTCGTCGCGGAGGCCAACCCTAGCAAAACTGAATACAAACTTCATGAATGTTTCCCAATCATCAAGATATCGAGGCAAGCCGACTAATTTTTCTTCCCCAAGAACAAATTTAAATGAGACTATTGCTGGGCCTTCCCCTCCTGTTCCAAAAAAGTATGTGAAGAGTGCAAGCTTTAGTCCTAAGCTGAATAGCAATAATGCCCCAGATGCTGGAGCAGAGAAGTTAGCAGACTCAAAGTCAGCTCCAGCCAGCCCAGCTCCGAGTGATCAAATTGCTAAAGCAGCTCCTGCTAGCAGTGGCGTCAGTGTTCAGTCAGCAGGTAAACTTTATTCTTACAAAGAGGTAGCTTTAGCCCCACCTGGGACAATTGTGAAGGCGGTGGCTGAACAGTCACCAAAAGGAAATCCTATTCAACAAAATTCTGAGGTGAGTACCATTGTAGTTGCAACAAAGGAAACACAAAATATCGTGGCAACAACAAATGATGTGGAAGATTATGCTCAAAAATCAACTGATGAGAAACAGGTAAGTCCTATCCATGAAGAAAAAACAGAAAAGGAAACCACTGTGATGAAAGATAATCCAGGAACAGTAAATAGCAAGGCCAAAGATGAGGTTGTTGAAATTAAACTCCAGGAAGCTAATAATGTTGCAATAATAGAGAAGAAAAAAGAAGTTGGAAACATCAAAGACGTGGAGGTTGACAGTTCTGGTTGCTTAGACAAGACAAACAACGGGGCCTCTAAAGGTGCATTAGAGATACAAGTGCATGAAAGTTGTCTAGCAACTTCCCACAATTTAAATCCCCTAACCATTTTAGTTGAAGACGAAAAACAATTACTTGACAATGATGTCTCTGTGTCAAAAGATAAGGTTGCTGAGGGAGATGGGGAAAATGAATCATCCCGTGACAATGCAGTCAGTAAGCCGCCAGCATCAGAAGGAGAAAAGCAAGAAATAGAAACAGGAAAGGAATCAACCAAGAAACTTTCTGCAGCTGCACCACCGTTTAATCCATCCACAATTCCAGTTTTTGGCCCTGTTCCTGTTCCGGGTTTCAAAGATCATGGAGGTATTTTGCCCCCACCAGTAAATATTTCTCCTTTGCTTCCAGTCAGTCCTCGAAGATCTCCGCATCAGTCAGCTACAGCTAGGGTTCCATATGGTCCACGGATTTCTGGTGGCTATAACAGATATGGGAATCGTGTTCCGCGGAATAAAACTGTATTCCACTCAGGTGAACCTTCCCCTGATGGTAATCCCAGCAGCCCTCCTAGAATAATGAACCCACATGCCACAGAGTTTGTACCTGGCCAACATTGGGTACCTAATGGCTATGTTGTGCCTCCTAATGGATATATGGCTTCTCCAAATGGCGTTCCAACATCTCCTAATAGTTTTCCCCCGGTGTCTCCCAATGGTATGCCAGTTTCACCAAGTGGATATCCTGCTTCACTAAATGATATCCAAGTGAATCAAAATGGATCTGCAACATCTCCAACCAGTTCAACTGATTCAGCTCAAGTTGTATCTGTTGAAACTGATCATGAAAACAAAAGTCAAACTCTGGATGAGGAAAATAAAGATGCTTTTTCAACAGATGTCACTTCTGAAAAGAAGCACATTGAGCAAAATCCTCAAGAGCTATCTGCCAGCAATGAAAATTCTCATCCTAAAGTAGAAGAAAAGCAGGCAGATCTCAGGCACCCATCTGGTTGTATTAATGAGGATAAAGTAACCAACAAGGATGCAGTAGATGAGAAAAAGCCAAGCAAGTGTTGGGGAGATTACAGTGACAGTGAAGCTGATGTGGTTGAGGTCACAAGTTAAGGAAAGATAAACTTTTCTTAGTAAAATGATAAAAAAAAAATAAAAAATAAACTGTTGCATTGCAAGGGTTTTACGCCTATCAAGATACTAAAAGTGATGCCAGGGATTGACTGTACTGAGGTCTTTGAGGCAAACTGATTACTTTTGAGGACTTGTGAAAGGTTTCATACAGCGTGGTACATACTTCTCTTCTCTAGGGGTTTCAAACTTATAGCGTGTTTATTGAAGGAGGTTACCGTGACCATGACCATGGAAGGTGGAGGCTTTGTTTGTAGCTAATTGGCAATGTCTTGAATTGTTTTAATTTTTTTTTTTACAGCTACTTTTCTTTTGCTTATTCAAAATGGGATTCTAGCTTTGAGGTCAAAATACTCTTACGGCTAATAACTAGGTTGCAGTTGCACGACAATAAGGCCTCATTTGCCAGGTCTGTGTATGTTTTTTCAAGTTGTAGAAGCAGCCTTTACATCTTACAAATATGTTCATATTTTTACTTTCATATGGTGACGATGGTTGGCAGTAAAAATTCTGGGTATGTTAATCAGCAAATAGTTTTAAATGGAGTGATGATTTACATCAAATAACGTGTTGGTGACTCCTCAAATTTCCAGTTTTCTTTTTACCCTCTTAGAAGAATATTATTTAGTTAATAAATTTTCTGAATTAAATAATTTGAAACATATTATTACTGTCGAAAAGGAGTTAAGATAAAGAGTTTTTTTTCATTTCTAGTACAACAGAATAATTAATATATACATGAACTAGTGGCTGCTTATAATTTGCTAGCCATTTGTTCCATGAATGATAATCCAATAGGAACATGCAACAAAAAATATAATGGTGACAACTACCGACAGAGTAGCTATGAAAGTTGATTAAAATGCACAGGTGGGCGACCCCCGTCGAAATTCCATTACTTGTAGTGTGGCTAGAGTGTGTGCAAGCGCCCCAAGAACAACAAAAAAATGAAAAATCTGATGACTGTGGCCAGCAATATCGAATGCCCCAGGCTTCCATCGCTCTGGTATTCTAGTAACATAGAACACAGCTCCGGTGGCATATAGAATGGCCATTACAAGTTCATATCCGAGTGCAACAACAACATGCGGGTGTTCCCAATGGGTCACAAGAGCGTGAACAGCGGGAACCACTCCTGAAAATCCCATGGAGAGAAATAAAGTTGCTCTGAAGGATCGAAAGCGAGAGGAAGAAAGTGAGGGGGAAAGAAGGGTAACGATGGCCATGACTCCAAACACAGATATTGTGGTCAAATAGAGTGTCCTTATATAAGGATTGCAGAAAAAAACATAGTAAATTGGAGCATAGAAAGAGCAGACTATCATAAGAGATATTCCTGCATAATCTAGACGCCAGAAAAACAGGTTGAAGGGTTTGGAGTGGCAGGCCAGAAGATGGGAAAGAGGACTGGAAGGCAAGCACCCC